GAATGGCAGGTGGTTCTGGCTCTGGGTCCTTTCGGGAATCGTAGATAACAAGCCCGTGTGAGGGGCCATATTGGAACTCATCCTGATTTTTGATGTGTTGCAAGTGATATTCCTTGTGAAACCTGAAAATAATTAACATTGTAAACCATCTTTGTCATTTGGAATGAGGTTTGCTGCATTCTGTCACTCTAGGACTTTTATGAGCCAGTGTGTCTTCCTCCATTTCCTCACACCTTCCCTTCATGCAGAGTTCATCATGTGCCAGACTCCTATGCACTGTCACCTGCTCTGTTTTTCGTAGTGTGTCGTCCCCTTTCTTGAATCTTCAAGCATATGACTTTTGATCTGTGTCTTCTAGGTGCAGGAAAGCAATCCTGGATAGCTATTTTGAGCTTCCTCTGTTGGCTGTTGTGGGCAGTGCAGTACCTTCTATTTATTATCTGGGAAGGGTTTGGGGCAGAATGAATGGCAATGTGTTTTCACTGTCAACAGTTTTTCAAAGAATTCAAGATTGGCCTGTATTTGTGTCACAGCTCCTCTAGTGGATTTTCATTTTTGTCTGCTCTGGTTTCTTTATGAAGCTGTCATTGGTTGCATAGACATTTGGGTGTCCAATATTTTCTTGATGAATTGACTCAGTGGATGTCTCTGACATTTCAGGGTATTTTCCGTTGTCCTCCTCAACTTTTCTTTTGACCTCTGTTCGCATGATAAACCTTTCTCCTATTGTTGAAGGAATTAGTAAGTGAAACACACCGAGTGAAGCAGAATGGAAGTAAAATAATAGAAGTTTTATTTTGTCCACAAAAGGCCACTTGCAGTCAGAGCAGGGGTCGTGATGGACCCGGTACTGGCCTGTAGCTGCTTCTTTTACAGGTTTTACAGCTATGGTCTCCTTCAGGTGGTTTCATTTCATTTCCTGAGTTCATGTTACCCATGTACAAATTACAATAACAAGGCAGTTAACTTCAGCCCAGAAGCAAGAATTCCTTGTAGTTCGGGCGTTTATCTTAAGAGTCATCTAGGTATCTATGCTGGTGCACAGGACGGGGGTGTGTTCAAGGTAAGGGATGAGGGCAGTTGTCCCGCTTCAAGGTCAGTACCTCTGGTGTCTGTAAAGTTTGAACTAAACAAAGTAGATTGCTGTTAGAGAAAGCAGAAGTCACTTTACATTTTCTGAATATTTTGTAGGTTTTTAGATTGTTTACAGAAGTTCTGTCACTACTGCATCCTAGAATGTTACTATGCCTAAGTCTTAGTTTTTCATGCAGTTTTATTTTAAACAGCATAGAGTACATGTTGGGTTGTTCGTAATTCATAAATAGTGTCACAGTTTGTCTTTCAACCCAGGCTTCTAGTTTCTCAAATTGAGGTCGGGAAATACTACAGCAAGGCAAAAGAGTGAAGATGTACTGTTTCACAGCAGTGTGCGTTCTCCAGTTCCCCCCAAACGTCACTCTCCAGGGTCCTGTGCTTGCACTCCCTTGCCTTCCTCCTGGGTTTCTTCCTTGAGCTCCACTGTTGAGTAGAGATGGGACACGCCGACTCCCTCTGACTCCTTTCACTAATGTTGCATCCTGTTCCAGCTTTTTATGTATAATCTCCATTGTTACAAATTTGTCCTCTGTTTATCTCTTTTGTGTGGAATGCTGTCTATAAAATTTTCAGATACATCTAATGTCCAGCATAGTATAGTTTTCTCTATCATGTTGAAAGTGATGTTGAAATTTTTATCTCTCACTTTCAAAATATTAAAATCTTGGTCTCCCTACACGACTCCTGGATGCTTTCCATTTTACCTGTCACCTGGCATTTTTTTCTTAAATCTTCATTAATAATTAAAGTCTGGAATCTCTTCTGGGACAAAATTGTGTGCCACTGAGTGCATAGCATGGTTTAGATGATTCTTGGCTGTAGAAAAACAGTTGAAGGTGGAAACAAGTGGGGAAATGAAATGGCAAAGGACCAACCAGGACTCGTGTGGAGAAGATTATGGGATAAGTGTCTAGAATGGCCTTTTAGATTCTCTGAAGGATTTCTTGATTTGTGTTTATGATATTTTGTTGCAGGTTAAAGTTTGGAAAGAGTCGCAGTCCATTAGGGAAATGAGGTGAGCCATGGCTGTGATGTTTTTGAAACTGTGTGTGTTCTGGGGATTTCACACCTCCAAGGCAGTTGGGTTCCTGATTTCCCAGGCTGAAAGAAAAATATTTGCATGATCCATTTTTTCACCCTATGAGTGTGTCTGTTTTCCTCAGAGCATTCTCCTTTGTATTTTTTAGCTTTTACATTTTACTTTTGAAGTCTCTTGAATACTTTGGAAAATCCCTGACCTCTTCACTTCTTTTGATTCTTTCTGTTGCTGCAAGATAATATTTTAGTTAAATTCAAGTAGGCTAAGTATGGAATTCTTATTTGTTTTTTTTTTTAAAAAAAGCACTTCCAACATTCAGTGGCCCAAAATAGGCATTTCCATTTAAAAAGTTCCAAATGGGGATACAAAGGAATGGGACCAAAGCAAGTCCAAAATGCAGCAGAGCAAACATGAAGTCCCACAGTTCCTATTCCAGCATCGCAGGCAATGTGTGTCAATTAGTGAACTCCACAGGGTTTGGGTGGCTCCACCCTGAGGTCCTTCTGGTGTTTGTAATTCCCCTGGCTTCTCTCTTGGGCCAGCTCTGCTCCCTCCTTGCAGTTTTCCTCAGGCAGTCCATGGTCCTGGCTTCTTCAAACTTCTGGGGTCTCTCCTGCAGCATTCTCATAGCTTCTGGAATCTGAGTGCAAGCCTTCCAGCCCCTAGAATTCTTGCATTATGCACGCACCTAAAATCAGTACCGTGTGGTTGACACCCATGTTGGCTGCCAGCTGGAGCAGTAGCCAAGCTTCCTTCTCTCTTGGCTGGAGGGGTCAAGGGCCTGAATCGCAGAGCACTCTGAACTCCCATCTCAAGAAACAGATTCTCTAGGCTGCCACCATTCTCAAATATGGTCCTCTGAGGCTTTCTTCTCAAAGCAAAGACTTTCAGTTTTGCAATTTGGAGGCTGCAGATGGGGAAGTCCTGCTGCTTCTTGTGATGCCCTCAGGCCATCTTTTCCATTTTGTTCCTTCTCAGCAATGAAGGTCTCCTCTGCTCTATCTTTGCTGTCCACAGCTTTGCAAGAGCTTCCTTTCTGGGCAAACTCTAAGCATTTTAAAGAATTCTGCTTGGCTCTGTGCTCTTGATTCTCAACATAGATCTGGCTCAAAGCCCCCAGTAGTGGCCATGCCAGGGCCTCAACATTCAACTCCCTTGAAATTTCTTGTCCTCATATTTTAGCTCTAATCATACTGATTTGTTAATTTGCTTCTTCACTTTTATAATTTCCGCTGGTGAAAAGGATTTCATGAATTTTAAAGTGCGTTGTCTACCTTTGGTATAATAATGGAAGGTTCTAGTGTTCATGCGATGTGCGTGAGCCTTCCCTTCTTCAGGTCCCTCACAAAATGCCTCCTGCACTTTACTGCGCTTCAGTCACAGCACAGCTGAGAAGCCTGCACAAAACAAGCCTGGCGATGGAAGCCCCTGTTTGTTGGGAGGCTGCTTGTCTGGATCGATGAAGAGAACACTTCCCTGAGGACGCTGAGGGACTCGTTTCAGATGTCAATCTGAGGTCCAGATGAGCGGCCTGCTCAGAGGACAGAGAAGTCTCCAGGCCTGGCTCTAGGTGGTGCCACATTACTGACAGCACAAGAGCCGGAGGAGCATGTGTTTTCTTTCTCTCAGAATGGGGCCTTAGGTTTCTGTTCTGTGCACCTTAAGTTGTGCAGTGACCGAGCCTTGCTTCCCTGTGTACACTTTGAACAGAACTGCACTAGATTCCTGTATGTAGGACACAGTTCTTGAGTGGAGAGCGAGGCAATAGCGATTGAGTTCAGAAGTCTTCAGCATTGGTGGGTGATCTTATCAGTGTTGGGCTGAAGAAAAGAATCCTACATGTCCTTGTGAAATATGGACAACGGGACAGACTTTTGTGTTTTATGATTTTATGTTGTAGAATTTTCTGAGACTCTTTCTCTTCTGTCTTGTTTCATGGAAGCAGGCAAGCCCTGGAATGAGGTCCTCTGTGCCATAAAGCCAAGATGGGTAACTTCCTCAGGATCCCTGGAAGTTTAGAAAGGGCACTGGTTCAGGGCATGAATCTCTCTCTCTTCTTTCTGTGCCACTCTTGAAAGTCCCCTCCACCCCCCTCACCCTGCCTTCTTCAGAGGATGGGGGTGCACCGTCAGGGAGTGTGCAGTTCCTCGATGGGAGTTTCTTTAGGCCAAGGACACCTGGGCCCCGAATGGGGTGCACACAGGAGGAACGTGTCATGCTGCTAAGGGCCCTTGTGCTGCTGTGGCCGGGGAAGGGCCCAGGCAAGGTGTTGGGCCAAAAGCAGCATTCTACAGATCCTGACCAGAGAAGGATAGGCACATGCCCGATTAAGCACACACCACAGTCATCCTGTGCACACATGGGAAGAACACAGTCGTGCACATGGGAAGATCCCAAGGTATGTGAGGGGCACAGGTAGATGACAGAGTGAGGGCACAGGCTGGGGGATGTGGGATCGCAGAAATGGGTGCCTGTCCCTACCTTACATGTGGTTTTCTCCATCGGCTTTCCTTAGGGCGAGTCGCTGTTGTAGGCGTGACTTCAGCTGGGTGTTTCTGGTTCCTGGGCAGTGGAGCAGCCTAGGAGGGCTGCACGCCTGTGTCCTCCCAATGAGCTCCACCCCTGTGGGCTGTGGAGGATGGTTAGCATTTGCTGCCTTGGGCTATGGGTGTCTTGGTGAAGACCCATGGAGGCCCCAGGATTTCTGTCTACTCAGGGCAGAAATGGCCCACGGGGACTCATGCTTGGCAGTGGACAGTGTTCCTGGGCTATCAGCCTGGCCCTGGGTCTCCCAGGGCCTTTAGGGTCCTCTGGTTGAAGAGCTTGTCCAGTCATTCATGCCTCTGAGGCATCTGTGCGTGTGCGTGGATCGATGACGATACCCCAAAAACATTCCTTGGAAAAGCTGAACAAAATGAGTGAGGACTCTAAACCATCGTTCTCATCGTGACTGAGGTCCAGCACGTTGCCGCCCGCACAGACCGTAGGAGTGGTGCATCCATGTCCACTTCCGCACATTCCTCAGACCACACAGGTTTACCCTGTGCCAGCCTCCCATCCCCAAAGCTTCTGAGTATTGGCTAGTGCGTGGGCCCGCTGGGTGAGCCCTGTGTGGCATGGATCCTGTTCTCCGTGTTCTTGGTGTAGGAAAGGGACCCCGGACAGGCCCTGCGAGTTTCCCTCAGTATCCCTGGAGGGCAGTGCAGCACCTTCTTTTGGCTGGCTGGCATTAGTGATCCCGACTGTGCTCAGGTGAAGGCCCCAGGGTTCCGAGGGAGCAAACCCCAGTGCCCCGCGGAAACAGATGCTGGTGCTGTGTGAGATTTAGTCGACCGTGGACGGGCCCTGGTGGTACATGTGAAAGACGACCAGGACACTCGACTGAGCTGGCAGCTCCCTTTTGGCAGTGCCATGGAGGCAAAGTGTTCAGCTGGTGCTCACCCTTGGTGGTGGCAGCAAATAGCACAGAACCTGGGGATTTCAGGAGGCTTGGAGACCGGTTCCTGTGGGCAGGGCTAACCAGGGTCCGTGTCTGGGAACAGGGGTCAAGCTGCGGGTCACGGTCCTTTCACCACATCCATCTGCACCCAGAAGGGGCCCTTCAGTGGGCTGCAGTAGGATTGCACATAGGACTCCATACACCAAGGCCTAGAGGATCGGTGTGCCCTGGGCCTTTGCGAGTGACCGCCACTAATTTTTGCTAAGGGTCACATAACTGTGTGCCTCAGAATTGCCTTGCTATTGCTTTGCAAGAAAGAAAAGGCCCCTTGGGGTGCCCTTCAGGGCCAGCCATCCGAGCTGCATGTTTGTGGGAGGAGAAAGGTGGCTGAGTTCTCAGGTGCTCTGTCAGGAGAGCTCAGTGTGTCAGTATCCCTCTGCCCTGTCCTGTCCTGTGACACTGTTGACCTGTGTGTACCTGGGTGATGTCAGCATATGTCCGAGTCAGGCCCCGCTCACCTGCAGACCCTGAAGTCCCATCTGCACAGGTTGGGCTCCCTAATGAGCTCTTCATTCTTCTGACCAGAGTGACGTCTACAACAGGGGGAGTTGCTGTGAAAGATCCCCGTCTGTCATTTCCATACTTCCCAGCTGGGCAGAAGGTGTGAGGCATGCCAGGCCGTGTGGAGACCTTGGGTCCCAGAGAGAGCCCCTGGTGTTTGGCCAGGCTGCCTGGTGGAGGAAGGACTGAGCCAAAGAGGTAAGCTAGGCAGGTCTGGGGTTGAAGCAATCCCTGAGGTGCTCTCGTGAGGTGAGTTTTGTGGAAGCAATGAGTGCTGAAGACTTAGTGAGTTTTCCTGGAGCTCCTGTTTGGTGGTGTGGTTAGTGCCCTTGTGGGTCCTGGAAAGGCCTGACTCTGCTCAGGGCCAGGTCCTCATTCTCCTGGGAGAGGGTAAGACCAGCCCTTGAGGAGAAGGCCAACTGAGTTAGTCCCCAGTGGACAGGGCCTAGAAGGTGATGGTCTGTGTGAGCAGCAACTGGTGACTAGACACAGGAGGCTGCTCTCTAGGGCTGGGCCTGAGCAGGTAGAAGCATTCACCTTTTCCCAGTGGTGGCACACAGACAGCCCTGATGGTGAGAACTGCAAGAAGCCTTTACTTGGACTTGTGGCCAGGGAGTCCGAGAGCAGGTAGCATGCAGATACTGTGTGGAGCTCCTGGCAAGTACATGGTATAGTTCTTTCCCTGCCTCCCAAAGACAGGAAGTAGGCTGATGGTAGATGTGCAACAGGAATGCTCAGTCTGACTCTGGGGGTGGCTCCCCTGGGATGAGTGGGGAAAATTACCAATTCATTGTGTGCTCACGAGCCGACCTTTGGGCATAGAACACCTCTGACTGCTGGACATGAACTGTTCCCCACTGTGTTCTGAACCAGTTCCTTATTCCCCTAGGCAAGCCAAAGACCAAGCTATAAGTGACTGATCTTTCTCTGTGTGAGTTGTTGAGTGTAGACAGAGCCTACATTGATGATTTCCCTCTCTCTTTCTAATAACCACAGCATTTGTGCAGGATTCAGTGTATCTGTGTTTTCTGGCTTGTTGTGAGCCAACCATGAGCAGCCCCCTAAGGTGAAGTTAACTTCTTATATCAGCTATGCCTGAGAGTAGACTACAGAAGGACACTGTAAGGGTGGAATCCATAAGTCAGCTGACAAATTCCTCTGTGAATACAGGTAGATGTTCAAAATTCTGTCACTGGAACAATGGGCCCTTGGGGGAAACTCAGCAAGGACTGCTACACATTCCCTCAGCTACATGAATAACACAGGATCCAGAGCTGTTCGAACCAGGTCTTACTAGCTGGTCTCTGCTGAATGAACATATGTTCCTTAGGACTCGAGACAGCAGCCTGCCCCGTGCAGCTTGCTAGGCCCAGCGCAGATGAGAAAAGTATCAGAAAGAGGGTGCCTTGCATATCTTGCTTGGATGCTCATCAGATTGTTTTGGCAGCTGTATCTGGGGTCTGGACCCATGGCCAGTGATAGTCAGCACTGTCTTGGGGATCTCTAGCTATTTGCTTTAATTGCCACAGCACTTGAGTGGGATTTGGTATGTCCATTTCTTCTGGTCTGTCATGTGCCAGGCATAAGCAAGTTCACAACTTTTAGCCCTGTACTAAAGGCAGAACAGAGAAGGACACTGGAGGTAGAGAAGCCATGTGGTTGTGTGTGCTGAGACTAGTGATGGGGGTCTCTGCCCCCAGAGGTGTGCCATAGGCTTCTGTGTTCTTCATCAGCTGAGAGGATGGGAGGGGTAACAGAGAAACCTTGTTGGAAATGGGATTGGTGCAGTGGAATTGGGCAGTGAGTGTTGTCCTGTGTTACAGAGGTGCTAACGTTGTTCCTACGTTGAAAAGAAGGTGTGGTGCTTGTGCTCAATTTTGGACCAGTCACCACTCAGTATGGAGAATTTCTAGGGTCATTGTGTCCTGCTATGCCTAGTGCACAGTTGCTTTGTCCACAGAGTGAGTGACTTTTCCTGGCCCTATATGGTTCTATACCCATAGCAGTCTATGGTGAACAAGTTCCCCAGTAAGGTCAAGACTTTCTCTTGTAGAAGGAAGGCTCTATAGGTATTTCTTTGTAATGATGCAGGTGAGAGAAGGGCTTTAGTGAGAAATTCTAGATTTCTTGCACTTTGCCATAATGTTGTATTCACTGTAAATGAATGCCCACTCTCTTGCATGGATATTTGACTCTGCTGTGGAAGGGACAACTGAGGCATATGATCTGACAGGGTAGGTAAGAGGCCACTTGGTCAAAGTGAATTGCTCTTGCAAGCTGTGTGTTCATTTGCTTTCTGAAGCATGCTTATATGTTTCCTGCACATCCCAGGTGGTTTTGCTTTGTGACAGATTCCAGGGACCAAGAAGGAAGACTAGCATGTCCTGAGAATCCACAGAGGGGTCAGCACACCCTGGAACCCACAGGCAGAGGCTTCTGAATGTTGATGAATGGCTGATGATGGTAAGTGGCTCTGTGCACTCACACTGAGATTCTTAATTTCTAGTTCTAGACAATGTGCCTGGATTGATGATGACTCTCATACATGTATTCCTTGGAAAGCTGAACAAAATGAGGGAGAACTTAGAACCGTCATTCTCACTGAACTGAGTTCTAGCACATTACTCCAGGAGGGACTAGAGACCTGGGATGGAAAGGTACAGAGGCAATTATTGCCGCTGGGGGCACCACCTGGTTGGCCCAGATAGAGTAGGAAAAGACACTTGCTGTGAAAAGGACCATTCTCTGGACACCTCAGACTCCCAAGTGGTGGCCTTCTTGATGTTTGGTTGTCACTGGACCACAGGAGCCTAAAAGGTCAGTGAGTGTACGCATATCTCTGGAATGCCAGGTGTGGTGGTACATGCTTGTAATCCCAGCACTTGGAAGGCGAAGGCAGAAAGATTTTCATGATCTGCACAAACATATCAAATGAAAACCAAATATCTCTGGGAGAATTAGCTTTGCTGCTAGCCTGTATCTTTATTGCCATTGCGTTTGCTGAGTCTTGGTGCTTTGGTCTTCCATCCCCTCAAAGGAGACAGAACTAGTTGTTGGAAATGGAGCTGAGACAGTTTGACATTGCCTTGGCTCCTTTTGGCGGTCTGTCTTAGGGCTGTAGTACCCAGGGCAGTGGGATACAATCAGTGGGCATATGTTGTCAGAGGGTGGCCGGTGGAACATTAGTCCCTGGGGAAAGGAAAAGAACATGTGTGTTTTCCCCCTGTAGTGATGCTCTGGAGAAATGTGGAATGGGTGGCCAGCTAGGCCTACCGGCCACAGGTGGGAGAAGTGTGTTGGGTAGAGTGCTGAGCATTTATTTTGCTTCCAGCTTGCAGAGTGATCCTGTGAGGGAATTTCCAGTGGCTGACCCAGGGGGGGTTGAACCCTGGTAGGTGTTGGTCAGGCCCCTGGGATCCCTAATGGTCATAGCATTCACATAGGATTCGATATGCCTGTTGTCCTGTCATGCTCCAGGTATCAGCAGCCCCACAGTGTGAGGTTAGAGTCCAACTTTAGCCTTTGCTGAAGGCATAAAGTGGAGGGACACCTGATTTGTGCAGGCTTTGAGGCCATGCCCCTTATGAACTTACACATTGAGGCCGTTGTCTGGTAACTCTCACTGGATGTGTGCCAGCAGCTTTGTGCTGTGCCTTGGCTGACAGAAGGTGTTTGAGAAGAGGCATCCTGGAGACACCCTGCTACAAATGAGTTTGAAATAGGGTATTAGAGCAGCAAGTGAATATTGTCCAGCATGGCAGAGTCACAGACTTTGGCAGTATGTCAGAAAGTATTTGTGGTGGTGGTCTTGCTTTGGGGTTATGTGCCGATCAGTTAGAATAGTTTCCAGGGTCATTGTACCCTCTCATACCCAGTGAACAGTGGAGCACTGTCCATGGAGTGACCTTGTATAGTTCCATGCAGTTCTCTACCTCTCTTGCCTATAGTCTGTGGCTGACACATCACAGAGTTCAAGACTTCCTGCTGTGGAAGGCAGGTTCTGTAGGTACTAGGTACAACGTTGCTGGTGTGAACGGAACTTTGATAAGAGAATTTAGCTTTGTGCTCTCTGGTGCTGACGCTTGCATTCTCAGTGGATGTACACATCTGACTGTACATTACCAAAAGAAGATAAGGCACATGGATACTTGATACTGGATAACAGGGGTAGAGGCCAAGTGCACTGCCCTTGTGATCTGTGTGCCCATATACTTTGCTGATGAACACCTATGTTTCTTCTGCATTTCCAGGTGGCCTTGCCACATGATGGATTCCAAAGACCTCTTGGGAAGACCTGTGTATCTTCAGATCCCTGGAGAGGTCAGCAAGCCCTGGGACATGTCTGGAGTAGCTTCTTTTGTTTGATGATGGATGGCTGATGACAGTAAGTAACTCCATGCACAAACTCACTTGAGTTTCTTGATTTCTAAGACTCAAGAATGTGCTTGGATTGATGATGACTCTCATACATACAATCCTTGAAAAGTAGAAGAAAGTGAATGAAAAATCAATACTGTCATTCTCATAGAACTGAGGTCCAGCACACTTCTCCAGTGGGGACTAGAGAAATAAAGGATGGCACGGAACAACTGACCATTAATTCCTGTCACAGGCACCTCCCAGTTGGGCTAGGAGGAGTAGAATATGGCCTGATTTATTCACAAGAGCTGTCAGTGGATTCTTAGGACTCTTGGGTATAGCACGTAGCTTGTTTGAATGTCTGGCCATCTTTTTACTGACCAGGACTTGGACACAGGGAGTCTATATAGTTTGCTGAGTTTGTTGTTGGCCCAGGAAGATTTAGCCTAGCTGCTAGCTTTCATCATTGGTGGTCTTGGTGCAGTTGGTCCTCTGTTCTTTAGAGGGCAATAGTTCCTGTGGTTCAGGATGGATCTCCAAGCAGGCCTAAACACTGGCTTGGGCTCTTTTGAAGGTCGTTGTAACCCAGCTTAATAGGGTATGATCCTCTGTTGGTGTCCATTGGGATTTTGCTCACCAACATTAAGCTAGAGAATATGTATACAGTTTTCCTTGTAGCAGTGGCCTGGAGAAATACCAAAAGGGTGGAAAGTTAGAGGGTGAGAGAAGTTTTAGGAAGAAGGTGTTGCTCATGTGTTTCATGCATGCCCATCAAAGTGATCTGATGTCTTGTGATTTTAGTCCCATGGCAGTGATTACTCACAACAACCCTGAGATCCCTGGCTACCCTCCCTAGTGACCATAGCACTTGTATAGAATTCAGTGTGCCCATTTCTTCTGGCTGCCCTATGCCAGGCTTGAGTAGCTCTACAAAGTGCAGTTAGGGTTTCTTTTCAATTTTTGCTGAAGACAGAACAAGGAAGGGTAGCAGAGGTGCAGAGGCTGTGAGCCATACAGTAAATGAACTTACGTACTGAGGTAGTGCACTGTGGCATCTGCCCCTGTGCTTGTGCTGACAGCTTTATCTTCTGCATTGGCCAAGAGGAGGATGGCTGAGGAGTGCAAGGGGTTGGCATAACTCCTGAGCATTGTGCAGTGTCACAGCGCTGCTGTCCTTGACGACATGTTGAAAAGTGCATTCACTGTGCTGTGCTGTTTTCACCGTGTGCTGGTCAGGAAGCAGTTTCTAGGACCAGTGTGCCTGTTGTTCCTGGTCCATAGTAGGGAATATTACGCTGAGAATTGCACAGAGTCACAGTGCAGTCCTGTGCCCATCGAGCTAGCAGCCTGAGAGGTTAAGACTGTCTCTGGCAGAAGACAGGATCTGTAGGCATCACAATGCTACATTGGAGGTGTGCAGAGAGGGCTTGTTGAGAGGTTGTAGATATGTGTTCTTCATGAGATGATGCACATGCTTGTTCTGTGCGCACATGTCTGGCTGTGCTATACCAGGAGCAGATGAGGCATATGGATCTTAGTGGATGGGAACACAGTAAGGCGAATGACATTTCCCTCATGCTCTGTGTATCTGTCTCCTTCTCTGAAGCATACCTGTATTTCTTCTGCGTTTCCCAGTTGGTGTTGCCATGTGATGGTTCTCAGGGACCTGGAGTGAAAAACTGTGTACCTGAGACCCTCAGAGAGAGCCTTGAATGTCTGCGGGTTGACTTCACTGGGATGGCTTTGTATATCTGATGAAGGTGAGTGGCTGCAAATGCAAACATACCACTTCCCTAATTTATAGGGCTCAAGAATGTGCTTGGATCGATGATGATGCTCATAAATGCATTCCTTGGAAAGCTGAATAAAATGAGTGAAAAATATACACCGTCATTCTCATCGAACTGAGGTCCAGCACACTTCTGCAGTGAAGACTAGAAAGATGTGGGGTAGCTAATGGGATGGGGCAGCGGCAGTTAGTCCCATGGTGAGCAGCGCTCACTCAGCCCAGGAGTAGGACATGGCCTTCCTTGGGAAGTAGTCGGGAAAGGGTGTGTAGATGTCCTTCAGAATTATTTGACAAGTGAGGTTTCCAGTGCCTGTGGCAACGTTTGTGTTGGGGTCAGTATTGGTGAGCAATGACCCTGGATGTTGGACTGCCCACTTTAATGACCACAGCACTTGTGTAGGATTCCCATCTCTTCTGGTCTGTCCTGTCTTAGCAGTGAGCATCTCTGTAACATGGAATGAGAGTCTAGGGTCAGCTTTTGCTGAAAGCAGAACTCAGGACACTGGAGGTACAGAGGCTGTGAGGCCATGAGCTAAGCTGCCCACGCACCCTGAACCTGCTCTTGGGACTCTGCCACTTGAGATGTACCAGCAACTTTTTTATCTGCAGTGGCTAAGACCAGGGCCACAGAGGGCAGGGGTGATGGGGAGGTCTCGGGAACGTTCAGTTCAGCGAGGTGAGCAGCTGGTAAACATTGCCAGTGTCCAGAGGTACCAACTTTGGCAGTGTGCAGAGACAGTTGTGGTGCTGGCCCTTCGTTGGGGGCTGTATGCTAGTCACAGGAAGAGTTTCCAGGGCCAGAGTGCTCTTCTGGTGCCCGGTCCATGGCTCAGTATCATCCGTGGAGTGATTCTGCAGGTTCCCAGGCAGGACTGTGTTCAGACTACTAGTTGTGTGTGGCCTGCCAATGCGCAGGAGAGGTCAAGGCTTCCTCTTGGGAAGGGCAGGTTCTGTAGATGATGCTGTGTCACACTGCAGCTGTGGAGAGCAGGGCCTTAATGAGAGGTACAGGGTTTACAGTCTGTGGAGTGAGGATGTGTACACTCACAGTGAACCTTTTTCCTATGCACAGTTGTCTGGCTTTCCTGTACAACCAGCAGCTGAGGCACATGGATCTTAGATAATAAATGAAAGGATAGCTGGTCAAATTGATTGCCCTCATGAGCTTTTTACCCATCTGCTTTTCTGATTTATGACTATTTATTCTGCACTTCGTGTGTGTGTGTGTGTGTGTGTGTGTGTGTGTAATATATATTATTACTTTCTGCAGGTCAAACAGGACCAAGAACTGGCCTTCATATGGGTGAATTTATTGTTTCCTTTTTGTTGTGAGACAAGTAAAAGTATTTGGAAAAATTCACCCTCTCAGTCTCAAGGTTCAGCGGGAATCTCATCTGGTAAGCATTTTTTTCTGAAAATACTGACATACCTCTTAGAGTATCATAACAATCCAATGACCCTAGACCTTGGCAGTACTAGGCAGCTTTGGGGCTAGTCATTGGCGGTGATGCTGATCTCTTGAGGGCAAGGAACTAGTCTAAATCTAAAGAGAGTAAGGCTTTTTACTTTGAATTTCTCTAGTAAGTGAAGTAAATATATAGAAACTGAAAAGTGAACAGACCCAGGAAGGACCCAAGGACCCCAGAGGGGGTTTTTTTCAGCTGCCTGCCTGCCTGCCTGTCTGCGATCACCCGGCGGCGTGCGCGCGAGCTCCCGGCCCGGACGACAAACGACCC